GTGTGAGTTCATGAGTGTGTGTGTGTGCGCGTGTGACTACCAGTGGATCTGGTGAGGGCTTGCCTTTAATTTAAGAGAGAATGTCTGATGTCTGTGCGTGTCTAGTGAACCTGGAAATCCAGAGGTGGCCCAGGCCATCCACAGCCGAAGTGCCCCATCCTGAGAGGGACTGAGTGGCTTGTCCTTATTTCTCCACTGCCTCTGCCCCAGAATGAATAAGAGCCATCCTTCCCTCATGCTGGTCTTTAGCGAGCACAGATCACTTCCACATGCAGTTTCTTGTTTCATTCCTGTTATCAGAGGACAGGCAAATTACCCAAATTACAGATGAGAAACCCCCTTTAGCGCCCTGTCCTGCCTGGGGGAAAGCAGATCTGGCCCTCCTGTCTCAGGCTCTGCTGTGGGTCTACCCTCCACGGACCTGCTGGGGCCTCCTGTCACCATCAGTCCTCTCCAGGGCCCCAGCTTCGCCTCCTTCCTCTGAGCCTTCCTCCTCAGGCTCAACACCACTCCTCATCTGCCGGTAAGCTGATAAACTGTGTCCTTTCACACTGAAGTCTTCACTTCTCATTTCCTCCTGACACTCGACCCTCGCCCACACTTAAAGCGTCTGTTCCTGAAATCGCCAGTCCCCTGCTCATTGGCAAACCCAGCACCTCCTGTCAGAGGAGAAGGAGCCTCCACATGGTGTGTGTGGCCGCGGGCTCCTTCTTTTTTGACATTTTCATCTCTCAGTCTTTCTGAGCTTCTCCTTTTGCTGACTCACCTCGTGGAAACCCACTGAAGGGTTGAGTTCCTCAGTACCCGTCTCTTAAACTGGGTGTCGTCAGCTCCTCCCTTCCAGCCACCCTTGCGCATGTGGGATTGTGACATTTCTCTCCCGGGTTCTCTTCCTGCCCCGCCCCCCAGAGCAGCTCTTTATCACCCTCTAGGACTCTGCACTGCATGGCCAGCGGGCCCCCAGCACCAGGCCTACTGCGCTCAGTGTCTGCCCAGAGCTGCTTTCCCCTCTGACCAGTCAGGAGTCCTCACCGGCCTCTGCTTTACCCCAGCGTCCCAGCCTGGCCCACAGCTGCCCCTCTGCCACCTGTAAACAGCTCTTGGATTGCTCACATTCTTCTCATCCCCTCCACTTCTGTCTTATGATTCCCTGAGGTTGTAGCCCAGGCCTGGTGCATTCAGAGGCTTCACACCGTGGATTGACAGAAACACACACACAGTTGCACACAAATACACATACACACAAACATGTTTACACTCATGTTTAAATAAGCTTGTTCTGTATGGCTGTCTGTCAGATCCGTAGGCTGCCTCCTACACGGCCCCAGTCACTCAGAGGCGCATGGCTTCTGAGCACACGGGCTCACCAGCATGGTCTCGGTCAAAGGTAGACACAGCACACATGTGGAGGGAGACAGCTGCCACCAATGCGTAGTTATAGTTGCGCGCACACCGCACAGACCAGACGGAAGCAGAGCCCTGTTGTGGACGAGTACTTACATGGTCTCTCCCCATGTAAGGCAAGAGTTAACAGTTGGAAGAGAACAGGCGCCCTAGGCCCAGCCGTTCTTTGTAGGTGCCCACTGTGGTAGGCTTGGAGACCACATGTTCAGGGACACGTCTCTACCTTTAGTTACTCCCCATTGTCTCCACCACTCTGGGTCCCTTCCAGATACTGTTTTCTGAGACTCCACCTCTCGCTTCTCTTCTTGGGCACTTCAGATCCACACTTCTGAGATGTCACTAGAGTCTGGAGAACAGATGGGCAGCTGCTGGTTTGAATAGCTGGTGATTTAGGGGGACTCCAGAGGTCGGCCTGGGACCCGGGGATCACTTTAGGTACCCAAGAGACATAAATATCACCCATTCATGGGCTTGGGAACCAAGCAAGCTTTTTAATACAAATGATGAACGTATGCTGTTGATAACCCTGTGTGTTTTTTCATTACTTTGGACACATTTATGCATACGTGTCATAGGAATGGAAGCCTACCTCTGCTCCATACAGAGGAATCACCAATCGTACACATTTACATAGGGCTTTAAATCTTGTCAGAGTGCTTTCTAGACATTTTCTCATATGAGGCTCAAGACTTTTTCCATTATAAATGATACTTGTGTATTGCATATATTTTACATATTTTCTATTCTTCTGCCAGCCCTTAATAAACCAACAGAATCTTAGTAGATTGCATATGTTTCCATTTGGTATAAATATATCCCACTGTTTTTTACTATCTTCTCATTGTCTGTTCTCTCTATCCCTCTCTTCCTTTATGCTTGATTTGGTTTGGTTGGTTGGATATCGTGTTTGTTTCCCTTGTTGCTTTTTCTTCTCACTGTCTTATACAGACTCTGGTTTTCTGTCTTTGACTGCACATTGAGTCTTATCTTCCTGGTGGCTGACCAATCTTCCACTTAGGCTCTTTCACGGAGATGTTTATGTTACTCCTTGATGTGTAATGTGGTTGATATAAAATAGAGGAGTACTATAGTGTTCCATGTTTTACTCTGTACCCTATCCAACATATTAGCTCTTCCATGTAGGCGAACTAGGTCACTTTTATATCATCTGTCTGAACTTGTCTTATTAAAAAGGGCTAAGTGGACCAGCAGTTGGCTTAATGGCTTTGTCGCTGGACTCCCATGTAGTTGACAATGGTTCAAGTCCCAGACGCAGTGGCTTAAACTCATGCCAAGTGTGTGGGTTTGCGTGTCCAAGATCCGGAGAGGAGAATGGAGGAGAAGGGATTGCGGTCATTCTCCCTGGGGGGTGATTTCTTGCTTCTTTCTCTCTGTCTCTCTGGCAAGCGCAGGTGCCCTATAGCAAAAACCTCTCAAAAAAAAAAAAAAATAGGTTAAGATTCACCTGTGAAGGTTGTTGCAAAAATTAAAGTTGACACATGTAGAGGACCCCCACCGTAGCCAACACATACTTAGTACATTGTTATTGCAATGGTTCGTGGCGGTGATGAAGTGATATATAGTGACTAGATAGCGGTCTTCATGATGCCTCTTTGGGAATGTCCTGAACATCTCCCACTAACGGAGCCGAAATTAACCTTGCTGCAGTTGAAAAGTTAGGTTGTTTTTCATTTTTGTCCCTTATGAATCATGTCTCACTAAGCATCCTGCATACAGTTTTATTTTTCTTTTGAAATTAGCATTTGGATGTGTTCTTAGGAGGTGAATTATAGAATGAAGGGATATGTACATTTGTAAGGCTTTCCATAAATAAACCTTGTCTGATTGTTTTCTATAAGGGGGCTATCTGTTTATACCCCAACCAAAATCAAGAGAAGTATTTATAGAAGCTTTCAAAGACTTAGCTTCCTGTTTGTCTTTTCTTATTTAAATTTTATTTTCAAAGTATAATTCACACACACACTTTTATGGGCCCGAAGGATTACGATTGAATGGAAGGAGCATTTACCATGTGACTATAATAGGAATCTTTGTCCAGAGTTTGAGATATTTACTTCTGATGACTGAGAAGATGATTTTTTTAAAACTTTTGTTTATTGCCAGAGGACATTTCCACTCGCCAGAGAGAGAGAACCGCTCAGTGGGGCAGGGCCGTGCAGCATTTCTCCCTCCTCTGTTTTTCCATCCCATCATGATTTTGGGCACATGCACACACACACGCACACATACACACACACACACATAAACATGCATGCACACATGCACACGCAACACACATGCACACACACGCACACACATGCACACGCACAAACAGACAAAATGTTTTTCCAACCACCAGGGCTAGTATCTGAATTGCAGTCAGCCATATAGGATGTAGATCTCTTAACCACCGAAGGACTGGCTCTCTGAAGGTGAAAATTTTAGTTAGAATATGGCACTTGATGAGATTGGTTTGCATATTGAAAATTATATTCTTTTTCCCCCATAATGTCTCTATTCATTTCCTTTATGAGAGAGGGATAAGGAGAGAGACAGACAGACAGACAGACAGACAGACAAACACCAACAATAGGGTCTTATTCTGTGATTTCTCACTCCAGTCTTCCCAGGCAGGCAGAACATGGGCACACACATGCATGCACACAGCACATGTCCACAGATTACCAGGGAACCAGATTCTTATCTTCTCTATGGCTCCAACAGTGTGACCAGGTCTGAAAATTACATTGTGTTTCCAATTACCTTTCACTCCTCTGACCAGGCCAAGGAGCTTGTCTCAGCTTGCTGTCAACATCCCTTTAATACCCTCCTAGTCCTTTAGGAGTTTTCTTTCCATAAGTGACCATTCAAATTTAGTAACATCATTTCTTCTCCAGGTTTGTTTTTACATTTTCCTTCTTTTTATGTAAATGATACTAGTGCTTTGTTTAAGACGATGATACAAAGTTTTCTTTTTGAACACATTTGTTTAATTTAAGAAGTGGGTTATGGATAGGGCAAAAGCCTGGACCATGTTATTCTGATGACTGAAGTTGGGACATACTACCAAGAGAGTGCGTGCTGATAGCTACCTTGGTAATAATAACACACGTCCCTTGAAAAACATGTTGACCATGCGTCTCCATAATGCCTGACATAGTGTGGAGCTTTGTGATTGTCCCTCTATCCTTATTCATTTGTGAATGTAAGGACCTTGCAGTCAGCCATGAAGAAAGTGGCCTTTGTATCCAGCATGTTTTCTGGGTTTCTGACCAGGTGAGTAATCCACTCACTTGGCAGATTAAGAGTGGTTAATACACAAGCACTGAAGGATGTATAAATCAAGATTGGCATTGTGAATAGAATGATTCAGAAGTTGGGATTAAATAGCTTAATGATAGTCATTGTGAATCACATTGTCAGCTTTAGTATGATTCTAACGATGTACTTGGTAACGCTAATGAGGTTTGATAGAATAAAATTAACAATGTCCAAACAGCTGTGTGCTTTCACAACAAAGGAACTGTATCTCAGAGCAGACCGATCCATCCTTTCCACAGGAGATTTTAGTTCATTGATTTTGTTTTCTCTTTTAGGATATATTTAAATTTGCAAGAACTTCTCCAGTCCCAAGACAAAAGAGGTCCATTGTGGTATCTCCCATTTTAATTCCGGAGAATCAGAGACAGCCATTCCCGAGAGATGTTGGCAAGGTAAGTCAGACCAGTGACAAATAACAAAAGCATGTTTTTATTAAGAGATGAGCATGAATGAGGCAAACTGACTATTACTGTCTTGGTATCCAGCTGAAAATGGCCTCAGTTTCTCTACCATCACTAGGAAAATGGTTTTGACAAGAAAAGAATTTTGAAAGATCATATGCCCCTGAAAGAAAGGAATTGAGGTAAAACAATAACAGCTTTGAATGTTATGGCTTAGAGATCTACATGGTAGATAATGGTGCTGAAATTACACAGAAGGATGTCATTGGTTAAGGATGGACTCCACTTGTGGCTTTGATTTTTTTTATTACATTTGGATGATGTCAAGGTGACTAACCAGAAACGGATCCTTAGAATAGCAGTATGTTGGCATGCATCTTTACTGAGATCATGCTTATCAGATGTCTGAACACCACTGTGTCAGTTTTCTAGAACCTAAACCAGATTAAGAGAACTGAACTCTGCTAACCAGATCCAGAAAGCACTGCTGCGTGAATCAGAGAAATAACCTCTCCAGGAAGAAATTGTCATTGTTAAATGGGCCAAGCACTGATGTTGCCTAATGTCGCAAACACTTTTTTTCAACAAATTGAGTTTAATCATCTAACTGCCTGTTATTAGTAATTAATGAATAAGGCAGGATCCCCTCTATGAAACAGAGAGGTACTCTACTGAGCTGAGCAGAGAGGGTTGGCCTTGTAGGCAGAAAAGGCTGAATAAGGAACAAAAAGCAGGTTGGTTGTTTCAAAGTGACTTTCTTTATAGGGTGAAAGCAGAGGGGACTGCCTTAGCATGTGCTCACGTAGACTGGGCTCCTTATGATTGTTGTTGCAAATCTCCTGTTTCTTGGAAAACTGACCCATTTTAAAGTTTGGTTTGACTACGTGGCACCTAACATGAGTGACTCTATTCTGGTAGGGTCTGGTGTAAGAGCTTAGTGAAAAACAACGGCCTCTTGTAAACTTACTGAACACTCAGGAATACATCCCTCGTCACAGGAAAGTCAACGTGGAGAATCAATTTTAACCAGTTTGTAATTTGTGTTAAACCTGTAATATAAACAATGACAGTTAGTTAAATGAATGATCTTAGTGGTTGGTGCTATTAGACTGTTATTTAATTCCTTAAATAAATATGGAGTACATGTTATATGCTGGACTGCAAGCTTAGGACTGGGTGAACAGAATTCTGAACAAGCAGACAATAGAGATTATGTTCTAGTGGGGAGACAGATATTTTCAAAAATTGAAAAATTGCGGAGTATGACAAATGCTATGAAAAACATTTATGAGAAACAGGTTAATGGAAAAACAGAGCCAATGGCAGGACCAGATAATAGAAAAAGGAGGCAAATTTACACAGATGACTGGTATGGCCAATAGGAGTTACTGACATTTGAAAGAAGACTAGAAGGGTGAGAAAGGGACAGCCATAGGGAGACCTAGGTAGAAACCGTTCGTTACAGAGGGAACTGTGTGTGCAAAGGCCTAGAGATGAAAAAGAAGGTAGTATATTTGAGTGGTAACATGTATGGGTGGCTGCATCCCAGCAAGCAGGGAAGAGAGTTTTAAGAACTGAAGTGAGAGAGGTGGGCCTGACAGTTCTTCTCTCTAAAATAACAGTAAGGGGCAACCCTATGACCTAGTGGTTCAGAAAGCTAGATCTCACATGGTCATCCACAGTTTGAGTCCTGGTCCTAGTAGCTTGATAAACATGCCAGATCCCTGTACATGCATGCCTAAGTGCTGACAGGATGAAGAAATGGAGGAGAGGGGCTTGTGGTGATTGTGATGTTACCACATCCTACCAGAAGGTGTTTTCTCCTCTCCTCCCCTTTCTCTCTCTCTCTGGGGTGAGTGCACACTCCCTATGACAATTAAAATAAATTTTAAAAAACAACATTGAAAGTTTACAGAGGACTGACCTGAACCATGTTCTTCTTTCCTACTCACCACTAATACATAATTTCAGTGTTGGAGTTGCAATTTCATTAAGTAGGTTATAATAAGGGTGATTATATATCTCAGTTGCCTGGAAAATCTCAGTTTGCACGAGTTATCCTGGCAAAATTATTATTAGCATTTCTTTTCCTGCTTAAACTGATCTATAGATTTAGACAGTTAGTTGTGTAGCCTTTCTGCAGTTTTCTTTACTTCTACATTTGTCTTCCTGAGTGTGTTCTGGTGGTTTTCACAGGCTTCTTTCCTTGAGCTGTTAAATGACTCAATACACATGCAGCTAACCAGGGGCTTTCTCCTGCATTGTTTCAGCCTCAAACAGTGAGTTTGTTTTAAATCAGGACTCACCTCTTCCTAGCCCCTGATATCTTGGCCACTCTACCTCTCAACGTAGATTCTCCACAAAACACCTGCTTTTCTGTGTGATAGGCTCTCAGTGTCACAGTGTACAATAGTCTCCCAAATCTCCAGAATTCTTTTGCAGAATACCTACACTGCTTTGCAAAAATCGTTTGTCCATGCTTTGAAAGAACACATTTCCTCATCACGCCTGTTTGCTTTTATTCATTTATCCTATTCTTTTCTTTATATCTTCTATCTTACCTCATCAGCTCCAGCAGTAGCTACGTTCTGCAGAGCTACTCAAGAGCACACAGCTGTCTTCTGTGAGTGCTGAAGGAGTGGGGCCAAGGGAAAGGAGACCAAAGAGGCAAGGCTCCAGATAGCACTGCCTCACTCAGAAAAAACAGATAGGCTACATCAGAACACTCCTAATTTTATAAATAGTGCATGTTAGATTTTAGTATTAAATGTCATGTGAAGAAGAAACCCTGTGGCCATAAAAGTTCATGACCCTTGTCTGACTTCGGGTTCCTGCAGAAGTGGAGCCTGAGATAAGAATTTAAATGCAGGGGCTAGCAGATGATGTGGTGGTTAAGAAACTGGACTCCCACATGACCCACTGTGTTTTGAGTACCAGACCCAGCAGCTGGAAAATCATGCCAACCACATGTGCATGTGTGTATGTGTGTCCCAAATCCTGAGATGAGAATGGAGGAGAAGAGATGGTGGCATGGTCATTCACCCTGGAGGATGATTTCTCGCTTTCCCTCTTTCTGTTTTTACCTAGTGTACATGCCATGGCAAAAAAATAAATAAAAATAAAAATAAAAATAAAAAATTAAATGCAAGTAGCTCATTTAGGAGGTGAAAGAGAGATATTTATAAGGAAGCAATGCAGTGAGACAGGAAAAGGAAGGCAGGCAACTGAGAAGCTTGTTTACCAAACCAGTTACCACTGTGGGTGACTGAATTTTAGTCCCCTAGGGAAGCTACAGGTATTGGTATAAAACATACTCAGGGTTATCTCACCCTCAGGGAAGAGTGCTGAGGCACTTATACACCTGCTGGGGTATTTATGCTCTCAGCAGTCATTGGTTGACTGCCCCCAGGGGTGTAAATCCCCCAGCACATCCAGCCTGCCCTGTAAGACATACACAGACACAACAGCCTTCTGAGGTTTGGAGGAGAGTCTTTATGGAAGGAGATGCTGTTATGTCTTGAGAAGGTTGAGTCCAGAGAAGGAAGACAGGGCACTGGTGGGTTCTGCTCCATCTCTAAAAGTTATGTAAATATTTTGTGTTGCAGCCTCGGCTTTCTCTTTCTCTCATCCTCTGCTTCTACTTCATCTCCTGAACTTACTTTGCGTCCTGTGCCTTTGAAGCCCACCATGATTGCCTTTCTCCATTAATAACTACTCCCTGTATCCCAGGAGGAAAGTCTTTGAAATTCAACCCAATTCATGTCAATAGGCATATATTCTGCATCTGCTATTTACAAGGCACTATGCCAGGGGCTGAAAATTTAATGCCAAAGGAAATAGACCGGATCCTTGATCTCGCAGAACTGCAGAAGAATGGAAAGTATGAGCACATATTCATTATTTGTGATTATTTAGCACTGTGATGAGTACTTTCCCATGTATTATGTTGAATTCTCATAACAACCCCATGAGGATCACTTCCCAGTGTGTCAATGACGGTAACAAGACTCACAGGGGTAGAGTACACTGTCCACAGTAGCGCAGCTGGTTCAGAGCAGAGACAAGCTTCATGCCACTCTTTTAAGATTTCAGTCTGTGCCCTTACCCAGCATTCCCAGGGGCCACTGAAGCCTAATCTGATCATCGTATTCCATGGGATAAAGTCTTCTTGTTGGCAATTTTTCTCTTTAAAACAACATTCAAATTAAGTGTAAACTTTTTGAAATGTACACACAATAGGATTGATAAAGGGATGGATCGATTATATAGAGAGAGATGATAAAGGAGATATACTGAAATGACAGTGGCAGACTCTCGCTGGTGGGCATATGGGTGCTAAATAAATAAAAATAAAAATAAAAATAAAAAATTAAATGCAAGTAGCTCATTTAGGAGGTGAAAGAGAGATATTTATAAGGAAGCAATGCAGTGAGACAGGAAAAGGAAGGCAGGCAACTGAGAAGCTTGTTTACCAAACCAGTTACCACTGTGGGTGACTGAATTTTAGTCCCCTAGGGAAGCTACAGGTATTGGTATAAAACATACTCAGGGTTATCTCACCCTCAGGGAAGAGTGCTGAGGCACTTATACACCTGCTGGGGTATTTATGCTCTCAGCAGTCATTGGTTGACTGCCCCCAGGGGTGTAAATCCCCCAGCACATCCAGCCTGCCCTGTAAGACATACACAGACACAACAGCCTTCTGAGGTTTGGAGGAGAGTCTTTATGGAAGGAGATGCTGTTATGTCTTGAGAAGGTTGAGTCCAGAGAAGGAAGACAGGGCACTGGTGGGTTCTGCTCCATCTCTAAAAGTTATGTAAATATTTTGTGTTGCAGCCTCGGCTTTCTCTTTCTCTCATCCTCTGCTTCTACTTCATCTCCTGAACTTACTTTGCGTCCTGTGCCTTTGAAGCCCACCATGATTGCCTTTCTCCATTAATAACTACTCCCTGTATCCCAGGAGGAAAGTCTTTGAAATTCAACCCAATTCA